CTGTGGAACATGAAGGTCAAACCAGAAGAAACCTAAGAACTATTTTGCTAACATAGCAAAATATTTTCAGAGTCCAGCATGTGCCGTACACTCTATACCTGACAAGGATGCAAGATAACTGTTATTGTATCCATTTTACAGTTTGATTTTTTTTTTCTTAAAGATTTTATTCATTTATCTTTAGAGGGCAAGGGAAGGAGAGAGGGAGAGAAATATCAATGTATGGTTGCCTCTCGTGTGTCCCCCACTGGGAACTGGCCTGCAACCCAGGCATGTGCCCTGACTAGGAATGGAACTGCGATTCCTTAGTTCACAGGCCCACGCTCAGTACACTGAGCTACACCGGCCAGGGCTGTAACCATTTTACAGATGAGGGATTTGACACTCAGAGAGATCAGATATAACTGGCACTCACCCCAGCTCAGCCTGGTTTTAAAGTCTGTGCTGTGTCACATTACACTATTCTCCACTGGGCGTCTAAGGGCCGAGCGATAAGCCTCTGTAGCTCTAGGAAAGCAGGAGTTTAAAGACACAGACTCACAGCCTGCACCTATACCAAGCAACCAAATCAGCAGGGAACAATGCAGAAACTTACAACTAGAAAAGGCAGAGACAGCAGAAGAAATAAGAAAAACAAGGGTAAACAGAAAATACAAAATCAATTTCTATGATAAATGAAATAAATTCCCTATTAACAGGACTATTTATGTCATTAAGGACCCTGTTTCTTTCCACCTTGTGCTCTGTCTCTGTGTCTTCTTTACTGCAGGCCTGGTTCTCCCAAGGTCAGAGAACAGTGGCTAAAGCCGTAGGAGCTACCTACTTCCTCCTCCAATCTGAGAAAGAGATCTTTCGTCTGAACATTTAAAGTAAGGGTCCTGAAATTCACTGGGTTAGAGTTCTTAAATCACATTCCCACCCGCTGAATCAATGACCATAGCCAGTAAAGTAAATGGCTTAAGCCAACCAGGGCCGAGTCCTTATTAAAACAGTCCTCTTAGATAGCTTCTCCCCTTCCTTCTGACTTCACTGGCCTGGCTTGCTCAATCTCCCTGCCTGACTCCCAGGGCCAGCTTCAAGAGTGTGTGACAAGTGCAGTCACGCAGGGCTCCACAGTTTTCATTAATGGCCTACTGTCACCATTCTGAAATTCTTGAGTTTGGGATGCTGGGCCCCAGTTTCATTTTGCACTAGGTTCTATGATCTAGCCAGTCCTACTGACTACTCCGCTTCCCAGTCTTTCTCCGGAGTGAGTGCCTTCAGAGTAGGTTCTGGACTTCCTTCCTTTCTCCATGTTCTTGCTCAGGTGAATCACTTCTACGACTTTAAATGCTCTCCCTACGATAATAAATCCTGAAGATGCTATTCAGCTCAGACATTCCCCACTGAGCTCCATCCACTCACACTCATCTTGTCACCTTCATACTTCAACTTGGATGTCTAAAAGGCACCACAAACCTAATATATCAAATATGGATCTGTTTATCTTGTGCCCCCCAAATATCGGTCCTCTCCCATGCACATTACACTCAAGCCTCCTGGGTAACCTTCGGTACCTTGCGCACACCATCTCCCTTTCCCGACTTGAAGTCTTTGCACTTCTTTTTCCCGTGGTCCACCAAAAAGTTTGTACCGACTTACACTCCAACGAACAACCTACTGTAAGGCTCACTTACCCACAGCCAACCCATGACAAGGTATTGTTCCTAGTTACCTGATAGATGAAAAACTGGCTTCTTGTGATCTTTTTTTGTATTCCTTCAATTATTAAAAAGGTGAATTAACTGACATTTGCTTTTCTTTTTTGATGAACTGACTTCCTTGTTTGATGGGTCCATTTTCCCTAGTGGAATATCTTATTAATTTGTAAGAACCCATTATATATTTAAAATATCAAACATCTATCTCAGTAAGTTACCACAAACCTGGGACAGGGAAGCAAAAATCATTGACAGGGCTCAATGTGAGACAGATCATGGTACAAGCAAGAGAAACGTCCTTGATCTGGGAAGATGATGATCTAAGAGGGAAGTACTGCAGGCAAAGGACAAACTCAGGTGCAACTGCCTTGCTTAGGAACTGAACTTTGAGTGTGTTACCAGGTGGGTGCCTATGTGGTTGCCACTTATGCACTGTGACTGAAAAAAAAAGTTCACACGGACACGGGTTAAGAAATGGGCTTTAGCGAGACAAATCTATGAAGGCAGGTCAGCAGAAACAGTCAGGGACTGTCACAGAGACACCATGGCCAGGGACTCAGGAGCGCAGTTGAAATCCAGCTGCAAGAGCCTGCCCCACCGTTCCTCTCTTCATATGAAAGGTCAAGTTTAACAAAGCAGCTTGGTCAGACTGGCTGATGCCAGTCTGGTTTGGGCTTGACCTAGACTGGACACTAGTGAAAATAAACAGAAGTTGTCACAACAGTGTGATGACTGTGGCAGGGACTTGGCAGAGGTGGAAGAGGGTATGGGGGGGATAAACGGTAATAGAAAAAATACAGTAAAAATATTTTTAAAAATAATTTAAAGAAGTCAATGTATGTAATGACTGTAGACCCAGCAATACTTGCTGATTGGATGTGGTAAAAATGAGGAAAGGAATGGGAGTCAGGGGTGACTCCTGGAGTTAGTTTTGCGCACACGGTAGACAGTGAAGAAGTTGACTAGGATTGGGGAAGACGAGGGAAGCAACAGATTTAAATGACACTACCCTTCCACTGCCAGTGACTGAGGGCACAGCAGTCACAGCTACGTAAGGTTTAGAAAAGAGAAATAAGGAGTGAATTCGATTTCTATCACGTCGCTTAAGAAAGTGGGGTATTCCGGAAGTGCTCAGGAGGTAACCAGTATTATTTCAAGCCAACAACCTTCAGAAAGGTCAAGTTTGAAGGTAGGTAAAGATTCAGAACCTTCTTGATTCAAAAACACAAAATTCATCTCAAATGTGAAAATGACAACTACAATTTAGGTTCTAGAACTGTGTTTCCACTAACAAAGTCAGCACCCTCTGTAATCGCTAGTACCAAGTCTTCTGACAACTCCTTCCAATGTGCAGTCAACACCAGCGCAATCTGGGAACCCATCGCTGGTAAGACACAGGAAAACTCAATAGAAGCAACCTGGCAAATCTAAGATCTTTTCTGTGACCATTATTCCTAATTAAAATGCATTTACTGATCAGTTACCACGTACCAAGGATTTGCCAAACGCAACCTATGCATTATCTCAGTATCTTCAAGACTATCCTATGAAGTAGTCCAGTTTGGTAAACATACCCAAACTCACACTACTAATCCAATTCTCACTGGGATTAGAACTCAGACATCCGACCTAGCCGCTCCCCTCTCTTTTTATGTATTTTAACAGCTGTCACAGAGGAAGAGGTTGGGGGATGGGTGAGAAGGGTGAAGGGATTAAGCACAGGAAAATAAAAAACAAAGACTCATGGACACTAACTGCTTTTTAAAGGCAGCAACTGTCTTATTCACCTCTGGGTCCTCCAATAGCACTGATTACAATTCCTGGCCCAGGGTAGACCGCACAGTTGAGTTAATATACACTCTGCTCCATTTCCTCTTAACCTAAGAAACTGTATTTCAAAACAGAAACTAAGGTAAGCAACTACTTCTTTGTGTCTTTTCCTCCTTGGCTGGCGAGGAGGGTTGACACAAAGCCATCTGCCTCCAGAGAGAAACAGGACTGCCAACAATCACTAGGATGATGCAGGTCGGCACAAAGTGAGGTAACCACAGCTTCGATGTCTTTTAATATTTCAACACCTCTGTTTTGCTCCATAAACAAATAGGAGAGAATCCATTGATATTTGAGAAAATCATATAATTATTAAAACGCTCTAATTCTACAGTTTTAGATTTGGAAAAAGTCCAGCTATTTTAGACACATTACAGGAAATGTTTACTTCGGGGGCAAAACAGCTGAAAGGCTGCTGGCTGGGCTGCATTAGCCCTCTCCTGCACTGCTACAGCCAGATGAACTGCTTTTCTAATTGAACCTCCCAGGCTCAGTCTGTTTGGTTGTAACCAAACCTTTCACCACCCCATCTTAATCAGACCACATTCTCCTTTGCTAATTTTGACTATTGAAGTTTTTTTTGATTCCACCAGTCATTTTAAATTAGGCAAATATTTATGAATTAGTAATCTAATTGTGATATGAGTGCTTAAGTGTACCAAAAACCATTCTAAGAGCTTTATCCATCTTATCTCCCTCAATCCTCAAAACCATATACATTACAGATACAAAAACTGAGGCCCAAAAGGTTATGATTGTCAATGCAGGAGCCTGTATTAAATTGCAAAATGACAACTTTTTTCTGGCAATAAAATATCTTTATTATGATTGCTTTAATGGTTAAAATTTGCATGTTTCTTAGAGAAAGTAGTCTGTAACAGGATAAAAAATTACAAAAAAGCAAGCTTCTTAATGTTTTACTTGAATTAACTATAAAATCAAAATACTTGCTAATTATTTAATACCTTCAAAAATAACACAAAATATATTCAATATGTAATATAGACCTCAGAAATCCAATTCTCCTATTATGCAATTATTTACAAACTGAACTAAAAGACGTAGCTAGACAGAGAAATTAAAAAACAAGTATGTTCTCAAAAAATTTTATCCTAAGTTATCTATTCTTTGGAGTAGAAATACTCATTTAATACAATATGTTAATTATATCAGTTCTAGTTACAATTTGTTGGTGTGAATTCTGCCCAACTTAAATTCCTGTGTGCCTGGGCAATACCACTTTTTTTTTTAAAGCTATTAAGAATTCCTAACATGGTTCAATAATTCAGACTGATATCCCACCCTTCTTAATTTTAAAGTACAGAGTATAATGATACCCCCCGTCTGTTTTTGACAAATGGAACTTATTCTCGTTAATAGTATATAGCGTTTTCCTTTCTAAACTGCATACTTTTATTGAGTTATCTATATAACAATGTTATATACTACTAGTAAGCAAAGCAAGCAACATTACTTTTTTTAAATAACATCTTTAATTAAAGTTTTTGCAAAGGTAAAATATTAAACTTAAAATAGGTCTTAGTACATCAAAATACTAAGTTCTCTAATTGTATTCCAAGATGGTCTTTAAAACATAATATTCCGTATATCACAGAAGAGCGATCTTGATCTGCAATTGTACAGAATGAATTATACAAACATAATAAATATATTTACGCCCTTACACATAACAGTATGTACAACAGCAGTTGACAATAGTAGCTCAGAACAGTGAAAAGGATCAGTTCCACCCCCAAATTGTAGCCCTGGCAATTTAAGGACCCTTGACTGAAAGAGTTACTTACTGACAGTAGTAACTAACTCAATTGGCTCTTCCGTTAAAAGAGAAGGAAAAAAACATTTCTCTTGTTCCTCAAAATAAACAAAAATATTAAGTTTGGTGTGTTCTTCCTTAAGCCATAAAAAAATGGAAAATTCAGACTAAGATTTAAGAGGGAAATATAAACTTCAGAATAATTTCCATAGCATAATAGATTAAAATGCAAAACGTTTTAACATAAACCCATGAAGAAATATATATATAAAGTAACTATTTTTAACCAATGAACCCCAGATCTAAAGAGCTGATTCAGGCAGACAGGTGGAAGACAGACAAAGGAAATAAAATGAAAATGTACAAAGATGGAGCAATAAAATATAACATTGCACAAAATCTCAAAAATGTTCAAGATGAAATCATCTGAAAAAAATAGGAATTTTCTAAGTGGAAGAAAACGGAGAAAATTATGTCTGTTTTCCTGCACAAGGCATATTTACCTTCTGAAAAAGAATGGTGACATTATTGCTATAAGATAATAAAAATTACTTAGACAACTCTTTTCATTCCTCCATAAAAAGCAAAACCAAATCCTTGATTTTCACTATAGCAAAAGAAAATCTTTATACAAAAGCTATTATATTTTCATGTTCTTGATGTCTAAAACCAGAATCTATTAGAATATGCTCTTCAAAAACACATTTTAATCACTATACACACGGCTCAAATATTGATGTATTCCCAGAAGAAAAACATCAAGGTGGCTTTGATTTTAAGATAGGCAACAATATAAACGTGATATTATGATGGCATTTAATTAACAGAAAGAAACATGAACATTTAAAAAATATAAAAGCCCAATATAAAGATCCCCCTCATATAACAGACATTTTACTCTAGAAACTAATTGCACATTAAGAGTTGTTTCCGCCAAACATGGCTCTCCACAGAAATTAAACGTGCTCTCAGGCATTCATATGGTCTGATTATCCCAATGACCACCAAAAAAAGAGTAAATATACTGAAAGGCACACATTTCCACACTTGATATGTCAAGTAATTCTGTGTAAATTTTCCTCAGCACTGTTGATTAACACTAACTTTCTTTTTAACAAAAGGTGCCATCACCATCTGTGCAAATCTAAACAAATCCTCTTCTGAAACCTTTACCTATTTTCCTAAAACCAAGTCTGAACTATTTCCCCTCTTTGAATCAACATTTTCATTTAAAAATTCTGAAGTGGGAATCCCTGCCTTTTCAAAGGAATGACATGTTTACAGAATCTAAAGAAATGGTTTGTTAAATACATTAAAAGCATGATTGAGAATTCAAGTTCAATAAAAGATAAGCAAGTGGCATTCTTATAGCAAGCCACCATAATAAAACTAAAACATGCTATCTGATTAAAAAGGAACACAAATGCAGTAATATATAAGAGCACAATCTGGTATGCAGTGTTGTTTGGACTGGCTTTTAGAATATTCACAGGTAAAAGAAAAGCATTTGCCAAGTATACCATAACTAGTATGCAATACACAGGTGCACATACAAATAGTTATTTCCTGCTTCAAAATGACCCTAGTGAGTCCTTCTGAAAGCAGTGGCTTTTCATGTTTGAAAATAACATTATAAAAATATGCCAGTATACAATTCTACTGTGAATACGAATGTTTGCCTACATAGAGGGCCCAAACATGAGCTGAGGGAGTATATGATAATAATACACGGTTCAGTAGCCTAGGAACTACTAGGTAGCCGAAAGGTTTCAATCAACACCGCAGCACTGCTGCACGTTTATAGGTAGTTCAGGTCGTTGACTCTTCATCAGGCCAATATGCACCTATCAACTACGCTGAAGGACAACCGAACAACAGGACGTCTGTGATTTCGCCCCTCCCTTCTCCTAGCCTCAATAAACAACAACAACAAAACCCTGTGTGTGCTTTGAGAGTAGTGGGGTAAACACATGAACCTCCCTTCCAAAAACCTAACATAACAGAAATAAAAACCGTATTACCAGTTATGGCATCTAACAAAACCTAACTACTGGCATTGCTAGAAACCACCGCTGACACCAAAGTTCAGAACGTAAGTTAACGGGACCACGTTGGTATATGGGGTGAGAAGTGGGCAAAAGAAAAAAAAGTTATTAGCTTTTTTCAGAAGTTTAAAGATGTGTTAAAAGAAAGAAAAAAACAATACATAATAAGCTCACAGTTTTTCTTTGCAATGTACTTTAAAGTGTTTCTATGTTACTTCTGGAAACACAAAGACAAATGGAAGACTTAAAAAATTGATATACAAAAGTAACTTAAACACGTGAACTTTGTCTATATAAACCACAAAAAGAATTCACTGTAAAAACAGAGGTGAAGACCAGCGTTCCTACAGTTCTCCCAGGCAACTAGTTCGCACTGAACGCAGAACCGCCATGTTGTACTTTAGAGCCCCTTAGAGGATACAGAGCTATGCATTCTTAATATACATATTAGGTTTCTATTATTTTTAATATAAGTCAAATTTATATGCTTTCTTCCCAATGTGCAAACTGGAGCCCATGTCTACACTATCAATGGCCTGGAAGGGCCACCAAATGAGAGAGGTAAATAGGTACTTTTAGTGGCCCACCCCCTCTAACCCAAAATTGCCTCTCGAATTACAAAGTTGCATTTTAAAAAATTTGTTCAATTAAAATAATAGTTTTAAAATTCTTTACTAGTAAAAACAAGAAACTTTTATAATTACTAAATTGTTTAATAAAAATCCAGGTCCTCACCACCTGCCCAACACTTCAGTCAATGCACAGAATGTTATCTTAATGTTTGTTTAGCTTAAAGACTAAACACATAGAAGCATACACTTCAGCCCAACAGGAAAAAATCTTCATCTATTCATGTGTATATAATTTCAGCTAGATGGTACCTCTGTGAAATACAACCATATTCCTAATGAGCCACTTTGGGGTTTCTTTTAAAGGTACAGGGCTAAAAGAAACAATTACAAATTTTCTGTAAGGAAACTGAAGGTGTCATTTTAATTCTGCTCAATTGACAAGACCCAAGTTTAATGAGTATGAAAACCCAATTAAAATTAAGTGTCCATTCCTGGGTCAAATTTTGTCTCCAAATTGTGCCCACTGATTACTTCCCTTAATTCTTAAATAGATGTTTCATAAAGCAGGGAAGAAAAGAGGTGTATTTTACTTGGGCAGAATAGCAAAAAAATATATATATTTAAGACCTATTATAAGAGATCTAAATTGTTTCCTTACACAAGTGAATTAAAATTCAACACCATAATTCTTATCCTTTTGTAAAAAGCTCACACGCAATTTTTACCAAATATAACCACATACAATAAGCAGTTTCATTTCAATGTATCAAAAGGGAAATTTCTTCAGTTCATTCTAACAAGTATTTTCTGATTAAAACCAAGTTGAAGGAAGGAATATAGACAAGGCTTTACATGCTAATGAGCGGTGGCAGGTACCTGTATTTAAAATGGACAATTAATGAATGGTCTTCCTACACAAAACCCCAAGCCCCCCTCCCCAACAAACCCAGGTGCTACAGTTCCATGGCTTGCCAGTTAGAAGTAGTGTCTAGGTTGTCAAGGTCTCTTTGTTCCAGTAGCTTTGCTTCTACTGCACTTTTTCTGACATGCAGAAGTTAAGTTTTGGTTGGAGTATGTCCCAAGTTTCAAACTGTTCACTTTAAATTTTTTTAAGTTTCTTTTGTTTTATTTATAAAAGAAAAGAACCAACTCTTCACCATTCTGCATCTCCAATGGCTTTGGAAAATATATAATCTCTTCCATTAAGATTCATAATGCCATCCTTTAGATGAAATTTCCATTTGTTTTTACTTCTGTGTATCTAAATAAACAAAATAAAAAAAGAATGTAAGAGATACAATCAAGACAAAAAGGAAACAATGAAAACCCAGTCACACACCAACTTTGTTATACATTTCTGCACTTGCCAATTTGATTTTTTTATTTTTAATTTCTATTGCTGACACCATTGCAGATGTCCCCCATTCGCCCCACTCTGTGCCCCCTCCTCCCAGCCCTTACTCCCCCATCCCTTCTGGCCATCAGCACACTCTTGTCTGTGTTCGTAAGTTCTACACATACAAGTTCTTTGGCTAATCCTTTCATTTTCTTTCATCCAGCATCCCTTTCCAAACCCTCTGACAGCTGTCACTCTGTCTCATCAACACTGTCCCAAAAGGGAAGATTTCGTTCCTTTTTACAGCCACACAGTATCCCGTTGTGTAAATGTACCGCTGCTTTCTTTAGATAAGTACCACTCATCTACTGATGGGTATCTGGGCTGCTTCTAGATCTTGGCTGTTGTAAGTAACGCTGCTACACACACAGTGCACATATTCTTTCAAATTGGTGTTTCAGGATTCTTAGGATGGATTCTCACAAGTGGGATCACTGGGTCAAAATGCAGCTTCATTTTTTAGTTTTTTGAGGAAACTCCACAGTTTTCCACAGTGGCGGTGCCAGTCTGCACTCCCACCAACAGTGCACTTAAGTTACCTTTTCTCCACATCCATGCCAGCATTTACTTTTTAAAAATCATCTCCCACGGATATGTTTATTGGTTTTAGAGAGAGGGAGAAGGTAAGGAAGGGAGGGAGGAAGAAACATCTACCAGTTGCCTCCCGTAAACACCTGTGCCCTGACCAGGGATTAACCCCCTAACCTAGGAATGTGCCCTGACCAGGAAGCGAACTGGCAACTTTTTGGCACACATGACGACAATTCGAATAACTAAGCTGTTGTCTGTTGATTTATTGACGGTAGCCATTGGCACGCGTGAAAAGATATATCTCATAGTTTTAATCTGCACCTCTCTAATCATTAGTGATGATGAGAATTCTTTCATATATCTTTTGGCCAGCTGTATTTTCCTATTTGGAAAAGTGTCTATTCAGGTCCTTTGCCCATTTTCTAACTGGACTGTTTGCCTTCCAGGTGTTAAGTTCATATAGTAGGTTCCCTTTTCATTTTGTCGATGGTTTCCTTTCCTGTGCAAAAGCTTTTTAGTTTGATGTTGTCCTATTTATTTTCTCCTTTGTTTCCCTTGCCCCAGGAGACGTGTCAGCAAATATACTGCTCCGAGAGATGTCTGAGACTTTACTGTTTTCTTCCAGGATCTTTATGGTTTCACAGCTTACATTTAAGTCTTTCATCCATTTTGAGTTTATTCTTGTGTATAGTGTAAGTTGGTGGTTTCTTTTTTTTTTCCGCTTACATGTATCTGCCCAATTGTAAGTTTACTGAATACACTACCTATACCCCATTGTTACATTCTTGCCTTCTGTCAAATATTTACCATATAGGCATGGGTTTATTTCTGGGCTCTCTGCTCTATTCCAGTCATCTATATACCTGTTCTCATGTCAGTACCAGGCTGTTTTGATTACAGTGGCCTTGAAGTACCGCTTGATTAGCAGGTATTGTGAACCACCCACTTTGTTCTTCTCTTTCAAGATTGCTGAGGGTATCTGGAGTCTTTTTGTTTCCACATACGTTGTTGAACTACTTGTTCTATATCTGTCCTATTAAAATACCAACATGTCATTGATATTTTAATAGGAATTGTGTTGAATATATAGACCGCCTTCAGTAGTATGGATACTTTCATGATGTTAAATTTTTCTAATCCACGAACACTGTACACACTTCCATTTATTTTTATCTCCCCCAACTTCTTTCTTCAATGTCCTATAGTTTTCTGAGTATATGGTCTTTTACACCTCTTTGACTGAATTTATTTGTAGTTACCTTCTTTTATGCTGCAATAGTAAATGAGAGATTTCTGTGAGAGTTCACTGTTGGTGTTCATAAATTTTTTAGGTATATTTTATTGATTAAACTATTGCAGTTGTCCCAATTTTTTTTCTCCCCTTTATTCCGCTCTCCCTGCACCCTCACTCCCACCAGCATTCCCCCCACCCCTTAGTTCATGTCCATGGGCCATACATATAACTTCTTTGGCTTCTCCATTTCCTATACTATTCCTTTTTTTTTTTTAAAGAGTTTATTTATTTATCTTTAGAGGAGAAAGGAAGGAGAGAACAAGAGAAACATCAATGTGTGGTTGCCTCTCATGTGTCCCTCGCTGGGAACTGGCCTGCAACCCAGCCATGTGCCCTGACTGGGAATTGAACCACGGTTGTACGGTTTGCAGGCCTGCGCTCAATCCACTGGGATACACCAGCCAGGGCATTTCCTATACTATTCTTAATCTCTCCCTATTTTGTGCTTAACAGTTATGCTTCTTATTCCCTTTACCTTTTTACTCCAATCTCCCCACAGCCCCTCCCTGCTGATGATCCTCTATGTAATATCTATTTCTGTGATTCTGTTCCTATTCTAGTTGTTTGCTTAGTTTGTTTTTGGGTTTCGTTGTTGATAAGTTATGAGACTGTCATCACTTTAATATTCATAGTTTTGATCTTTTTCTTAGATAAGTCCCTTTAACATTTCATGTAAGAGGAGCTTGGTGATAATAAACTCCTTTAACTTGACCTTATCAGGGAAGCACTTTACCTGCCCTTCCATTCTAAATGATAGCTTTGCTGGGTAATCTTGAATATAGGTCCTTGCCTTTCAGGACTTTAAATACTTCTTTCCAGCCCCTTCTGCCCTGTAAGGTGTTTTTTTGTTTTTGTTTTTTTATTATTTTTTTTTTTTAGAAATCAGTTGATAGTCATATGAGAACTCATTTGTAGATAACTGTCTCCTTTCCTCTTGTTGTTTTTAATATAATCATGATGTACCTTCATGTATGTTTCCTTGGGTCTAACTTCTTCAGGACTCTCTGAGCTTCCTGGACTTCCTTGAAGTCTTATATCCTTTACCAGATTGGGGAAGTTTTCCTTCATTACTTGTTGAAGTAAGTTTTGATTTCTTGCTTTTCCTCTTCTCCTTCTGGCACCCCTATGATTCGGATATTGGAACATTTAAAGTTATCCTAGAGGTTCCTAAGCCTCTCCACATTTTTTTTGAATTCTCATTTGTTCATTTTGTTCTGGTTGAATGTTTACTTCTTCCTTCTGCTCCAAATTGTCTATTTGAGTCCCTGTTTCCTTCCTGTTACTGTGGGTTCCCTGTATATTTTTCTTTATTTCACTTTTCATAGCCTTCACTTCTTCCTCTATTTTGTGAGTATCCCGATTACCAGTGTTTTGAATTCTGCATTTATTAGGCTAGGTATCTCTTCATCGCTTAATTTTTCTGAAATTTTGATCTGTCCTTTCATTCTTTGTCTTGGTGCTTTTGTTACATTGTAAGGGACAAAGCCTTAGACATTCACCAGGGAGGAGCAATCCACATGCTGTGCTGTGGCACTGTGTGTGTGGGAGGAGTCAGAGAGGAAACAATGCCCTCTCAGCCGGCTTATAGTCACTCCCCCTGCTATCCACAAGTAAACTGGGCTGTCTGGCTCCGATTCCTGGATGTGTGGGTTTGTGTACATTCTAGGACCCTGTGGATCTCTCCAGTGAACTCTCCCGTGAGGCTGGGAGTTTCACTGCCATAACCTCCACAGATTTTTACAGCCAGAGGTTTTGAAGCTTTAGTTTGCCACACTGGAACTCTGAGTTGTGTGGCCTGTCTCGCTCCCTAGCTGTCCCTTCTAGTCTGCCAGCCACCACCATGCTACACAGCCTCTCTGCCCTGGCTGCTTGTCTTCACCCCTCCTACAGGTCTGGATGAATGTTTCTTCAACTCCTTGGTTGTCAGACTTCTGTACAGTTCAATGTTCTGGCAGTTCTGGTTGTTTTTTGGTTTTAAATTGGTTGTTGTCCTTCTTTTGGTTATGTGAGGAGGCAAAGTATAACCATCTACACCTCCATCTTGGCAGGAAGTCTTTCTTTTTCTTTTTAGCTAAGATATAACTAAGAATGTTACACTGACATATTAATGTAACATGTAACATTAATGTAATATAACATTAACTAATGTTACCTTAGTTAACATACACGTAATGCAATGTTACATTAATGTAATAGAAATAATGTAATGTTACATTGACATTTAAATTCTATTAGTTTCAGGTATATGACTCTATATCTTTACATACTGAGAAATAATCACAATAAGTCTAGTTAACATTCATCACCACACAATTCTTTTCTTGTGATGAGAACTTTTAAGACCTACTGTTAGCAACTTTCAAACATACATCACAATATTGACTTCAGTCATCTTGTTGTACATTAATATCCTTTGACTTGTAACTGGAAGTTTGTATCTTTAACCACCTTCACCCATCCCCCACCACCTGCCTCTGGCAATCATCAATCTGTCCTCCCTACTATGTTTGTTTTAGATGCCACATATGAGATCAATGGTATTTGTCTATTACTTTGCTTAGCACGATACCCTCAAAGCCCATCCACGTGGTCACAAATAACAAGATTTCATTCTTTTTTATGGCTGAATAATATTCCACTTAATATACAGGGTCCAGAAGAGGTAAGGCTTGTTTGAGTGTGGTTAGTAGGGTAATACTATGGGTGTAATAATTTTTAGTTTTAATCTGAACATTTCACCTAGAATGTCACATGGTGTGTTTAGGTGCAACATTGTTGTTACAAAATTACAAGCTTATAATTTTGTAATAAAAGACTTTATACTAAAAAGGTGCCATTATTTATGCTGGATCCTGTATATCACTACTGTATGTGTGCGTGTGTAAAATAACACTGTTTCTTTATCCATCAATGCACTGATGGACACTTAGGTTGCTTCCTTAACTATCATAAATGATGTTGCAGTGAACTTGGGGTCCTATATCCTTTCCAGTGTTTCATTTCCTTTGAATAAATACCTGTAAGTGGAATTATGCAATGT